GAGAGCGAGACTGTAATCTTGACCCCAATTTTTCAAATCAGACTGGTTTGATACCAAAAAAAAAAAGAGAATAATCTTACCTTCTAAAGTTTTAATTTTATATAAATCTATAGTTTCAATGATAACAAAAATCTATACATAAGCTTAAGTGCATAAAAATCCTAAAGAAATAACCTACTGGGGGGGAGGGGGACATCAGTAATACTTTTAACACTAAAGATAAATTTTAAAAAATAATAATAATCTAGTTCTTTAAATCATGTTACCAATTTGCACCAAAATTTTCATTTTTTATGTATAGGTGTTAAGGGTGTGCCACCCATGATAAATGACATCTTTGGGGCTGACAAAGCTACTGGATGTTGTTATGGGTTGAACTGTGAAACCCCCCAGCCCCCCCAAAAAAAGTTAGTTTGGACTCCTAACCCCCAGTACCTCAGAATGTAACCTTAGCTGGAGATAGTGTCTTTACAGAGGTAATAAAGTTAAAATGAAGTCATTAGGTTGGGCCCTATCCAATATGACTGTTGTCCTTTTAAAAAGGAGAATTTTTTTTTAACACAAAGACACACACATAGGGAGAACTCTATGTAAAGACTAGAGTTACGCAAGGAACTACCAGAAGCTAGAGGAGAGGACTGGAATAGATCCTGTCCTAGCACCTTAACGGGGGAGCATGTCCCTGCCCTTACACTTCTGCCTCCAGATCTGAAGGACAATAAATTTCTGTTGTTTAAGCCACTCGGTGTGTGGTACTTTGTTACAGGAGCCCCAGTAAACAGGTGTCATGAAGAAAATAAGCAGCTAGTGTTTATTGAGCACATACAAAGTGTTATCTAAACACTTGGCATCAAGAAACTCGGGTTTACCCCAGGATCCACATATTATAATTATACCCTTTTTACAGATGAGGACACATCAAGGCTCTAAGAGATTAAGGAACTTGACCAAAATCAGCCACAGTCCCGACTCTTATCACTAGGCTAAAAGGAACTATTATTAATAGTTCATTAAGCCAGACAGGAGTGATGTAACATACACAACAATCCTCTGAAATAAATATTATTACCAATACAAAGGAGGGCCCTATCAGAGAGATTAAGAAATTGCCCAGTATCTTACAACCAAGAACCATGATAGTGTATCTAATTTGCCAACTTGAAGGAAAAAACATAAAAATATTTCTATACTAAACTTTAAGAGCTGGTGAAATTTTTAAATGCTTGGCCTTGTAACTTAATATTAGAAATATACATCTATAAATTCAAAATTCTTCAAGATCCCAGGACAACATGTACATGTACCCCTTCAGCCATTGGTCAAGGGCTGTTTTTGCTCAGTTGTGGCCCCTTACTGTTTCCTTGACTTCCTGACACAGGAGAAGAAAAATTGTAAGGATTGAGATACTGGTTTTTTTGTTTTGTTTTGTTTTGTTTTAAATTTTGTATTTAATTTTTTTATTTTGATACAAACAGAAAAGTATAAAAAAATATAATATAGTGAGATGTCTCCTTCCCACAATGTCCTTTGCCTGCGAAGTCCCTAGACTTAACATGTAACCAATGTCACCATTTTCTTGTTTATTCTTCTAAAGTTTTTTTTAATGCATATACAAGCCAATACAAATTTTCTTTTCTGCATTTCTTTCTTCAAAAAAATACAAAAGGTAACACATCATACACACTGTTCTGCATCTTGCTTTTATCACCTAACTATATCTTGGGAGACCTTTCCATATCATATTGAATTATATTTTAATTCTGTCCTTTTGTTTGTCAAGAATACTTTTTACTTGCTTTCATCATAATTCAGTCTAGCACACAGGACAGCCAGAGCTAACTGAGACAACTGATGGGGCACCATATCACATGCCAAAGACCATCTATCTATTCTCTCCACCTCATCTTCATTTTGCTCTTTTCTCCAACTCATCCAATTCTCCTCCTCCTTGTTCCTCTCCCATCTCACCCATACCCTAACCCTGAAAACTGGACCTAGAAATAGCAAACTTCATTGATATTGCTTAGCCATGGCTACCAATAAAAAAGCTGGAGACCCCTGATACAGACAGAAAGCGGTAAATAATTTCCATAGGAACTTCTAATTAACAAAAATGCCTTCAATTGAGGAGCTGCTGTTTGAAGTTAATTTTCCTTTGTAACTTAGGTTTCCTTTGGTACTTTGGCTTGTGAAAAGGGTGAATATTGGCACTACTTTCTAGAAGCATGGAAATAAGCATATACTCAGGCCTAACAGGTAATGCATTTAGAGTTCATGCTGAAATAAGGTAATCACATAAAAACTAAAGAAAATGAACATGTTGGCTCCATTTTAATTAGACTACCTTTTTTTTTTTACTTAAAAAAATAAATAATTATAACCTGAAAATACATCTCAGAAACATTGTAAGGATATTTACAACTAAAAAAAGGGAATAAAGTTCTCCCTCCTTTTTTTATTTTCCATCCTGTAAATTCAATGCTATCCTCTTCCTCCCCAAAAAGTGCTTTTTCTCCTGCCCAGATCAAACATTATAATTCATAAGTTTTTTTAAGTAATAAAAGGAGGAGGAAAATGTTAGCAAATAAAACATTTGTTTAGATTAGGAAGAGGTTTTCCACTAGCAGGGAATATAAAATTAAGGCAGCCACATAACTACATTCTTAAGTAGTTAACAAGTGGCAACTCATACAGTACAGAGCTCTAACTTCCATTCTGTATTCCTACCAAGCCAGAAGTCTTTGGTACAGCTTCAGGGGTTACAGTGAAACTACAGCTGACTCCTGAACAATGTGAGCTTAAACTGTTTAGAGTTTTTTTTCCATAAATACTATTTTTCTTATGATTTTCTTAATAAATTTTCTTTTCTCTGACTTCCTTTAATTGTCAGCATATAATACATATAACAAACAAAATATGTGTTAATCAACTATTTGTTATCAGTAATACTGTCAACAACGAGTAGTTAAGTTTTGGAGGAGTCAAAAGTCATTAGCTATTTTTGACGGGGGGGGGGGGGGGGGGGGGGGGGGGGGGGGGGGCGGGGGCGGGAGGCAGCGCCCCTAACCCCCAGGGTTGTTAACGGGCCAACTGTATATTAAACACTCCAGGTTCAGAGATTTAGAGGTAAAATCTTAAACAGCATATATACCGTAAAAAGCAGGACTCTATGTACCTAATACATTAATTAAAACCAAGGTGACTGCCCTGACCAGTTTGGCTCAGTGGATAGAGCGTCGGCCTGCGGACTGAAGGGTCCCAGGTTCGATTCCGGTCAAGGGCATGTACCTTGGTTGCAGGCACATCACCAGTAGGGGGTGTGCAGGAGGCAGCTGATCGATGTTTCTCTCTCATCAATGTTTCTAACTCTCTATCCCTCTCCCTTCTTCTCTGTAAAACAAACAAACAAAAAAAATCAATAAAATATATTTTTTAAAAAAACCAAGGTGACTGTAAAATAAAATCCAATATATTGATCCAAATTTTCTTGAGTTTTAGGGAACTAGTACCTGCTGACAGTCCTTTGTCTGTATCCTAAAGATAACAAAAGTCACCAGATCCTGGTGCTAAATTCTTAGTACCAAAGAGAAATAATACTCTTGTACAAAGTCCTCCAATTCCTAAGGGTTCAGGACTTCTGGTTGGGTTCCCCTTGCAACCGCTTCAATTCTACAGGGAGAATGACTGGAAAAACTGTGTGACTCTGACTTCCTTTACACTAAAATAAGCCTCATTATCCAACAATAGCAGCTGAAACATAAGTGAAGATGGAGAACTCAGTATGCATTTACCTAAAGATTTCCAACAGTCCAAATATTTAGTTTACACAGATTGCATTATTCTCTGATTTATTCACTGCATTAATTTGGAATTCTGCAGGAAAGATTACCACACAACAAATTATCTAATTACACTAATGTCTAGCTCCAAAGGAAGGCAACCTATGCCACCTGGTGAAGCTGGCGGAAGGTTTCCATTACTCCTTGTCTTTCTCTCTCCATCCTTCCTCCCATTTTCCTCCCTACATATGTCTTAAACTTGGCCCCTCTGCTTAGTCTCAATGGAGTGTCCTTTGGCCATCTATGTACAAGAGATTGAAAGCAGCCAAGAGACTAGAGAAAAACCGTATCAATGAGTGGTTTTTTCATCTAAAGATCATCTGTTGCCCGGCCAACGAGGCTCAATGGTTGAGCACCAACCTATGAACCAGGAGGTCAGGGTTCAATTCCCCATTAGGGCACATGCCCAGTGGGGAATATGCAGGAGGCAGCCAATCAATAATTCTCTCTCATCATTGATGTTTCTCTCTCTCTCCCTTTCCCTTCCTCTCTGAAATCAATAAAAATATATTTGAAAAAATAAAAGATCATCTGTCCACACTGCCCAAAAGAGGTTTATCCTGTGAAGTGAAACTTGGCACAAAGTGCTACCTGTTGAGAAAAATAATGTAAATTCATTCCCATACAAAGGACTAGGAAACAGCATGGTAACTCTCCAACAGAGTTGTATCCATAAACCAACTGGTCTTAGGATGTTCTTATATCCTATATGATATGAAGTTTCAGAGTAAACAAATGGTTAATGACACATCTTTTGTAACACATGAATCAGCTACAGATTTGCAAGAGTGGGTCACACCCTAGTACCTATGACTCTAAAGTACTTGTTTGAAAGTGGACCTGGATGTCGGAATTGCCCATCCATCCTACTTAGATAGGAGCAGAATTTTACAACTATGTGGGTTGTCATAACTTAAAGTTAAAAAAATAACACATATATATGTAATGCAAATTAATTTGAGAACTTCACTAATATTTTAACTCCAATAACCAAGAAAAGTAGCAATACAAAGTAAGGAATAACCAATCAGTCCTAGGAAGCAAACACAATAGTAGTTTTTGAGTGGAAAGAGGCTTAAAGAATTGCAAATTTGAGAATTAGAATATTCTCAATTCTAAAAAATAAATTAGGCCTTTAATTTTAAAAATAACACATCTTACCTTAAGAGGCATCCAAATAGCATTCATAGTGTCGGGAATAGTTCAGACAATACTCAAAAATGAGCAAGAAGGGAGTCTTAGTAATCCCTCAGTCACCAAGTATGAGCAGGTGGAAAAAGGTTTTGTTTTAAGGTATCTGAAAGAGAAGACTTTCATTTAGACTAAAAAAATGATCAAGAATGAGTAAATAGTTAAGCTATGTGGACAGAGATTTGAAGTACTACTGCCTCACCATCCCAAAGAGAAGTACAAAACAGTCCCCTTTGGAAAATAGCAACTGTGGGCATGTGTATATCCATATATATGGAGAAATATATTTTACATAAAAAGTGGATTAAATGTGTAATACATATTTTAGATAATATCAAATCGTTAGAAAGCCAAAATCCCAGATAAAAAAAATAATTATCCATCCAGGGTACTTCATAAACACTACGGAAAGTGATTTAACTGACCATCTAAAAAAGACCCTTGTCACGTTTAATTTTATTTAATGAAAATCTCTCTGATCGCTCTCATTGTCCTAAATTTTATTAAGTTTCAGAACCCATTCTACTTAAAAACCTATGCTTGACTAAAGTGCTACAAGCAAATAAAAGGCCCTTCTTTCCTAGAGATCTTTAAAAGCAAACCAAACAACTTAATTTTGACGACCCGGGAGGGAGGCAAGTTTGCCTGGAGGTAGGAGGATGGGTTAAATGACCTCCCTCGCAGAATCCTCGTTCAAATCCTAGGCCTGAATGAAAATTCCAGCTTAACCAGTTATTGCTTCGCTTAAAATGGAGGCTTGCCTGAATAGGAACAAAAATAACAGCACCCACCTCTATAAAATAAATTTCGGAAAAATCAAAGACTACAATACCCTCATTTTCTAAAGAAAAATGCTTTAAAAATGTTCTGGTGTAGATTTGTTCCTGCTATACATTTGTCACTTCGGCTTGGAAGACTTGCCATCACTTTCCTTAACGCTCATCGGATTTTTTTTTTTTTGGGGGGGGGGGTTAGGGGTAAGGGGAAGGAGTCTGACTCTTGACCCAAGTCTCAGGAGGATTTAGGGGCCCCTCGGGGACCCCCACTGCAGAAGGCATGGGGAGAAGAGAAAGGGGACAGCCCGATTCCCACCCCTCCCCCCACCTCGGACCCTGGTCCCAAACCTCTCCGCCTCACCTTCCCGCAGCGGGGTGACTCCTTCTGCCCCATCCCCATTGTTAGAGGGGGGGCGCCCGGGGGAGTGGGCTCAGGGCAGGGGCGCCCGTGGCCGTTGCCCTCCGGAGGGCCGGCCCGCGGGATGCAGCTTCCCTTCCCCTCCGCGTCGGTCCGTCCCACCTCGGCTCGGCCTGGCGCCCCGGGCTCTCCTCGGCGCCCCCGGCCCTAGGCCCGGCCCCGGCCGGCCCCCGGGCACCAGGCCCCCGACCCTTCGGCAGGCAGCCCGCGGCCCAGGCCTGGGAGTGGGAACGGGGCGGGGGTCTCTATGCCCCACACACGCGTCTCCGCTCCCCCAGCCCAGCCGCTTCCAGGGCCCTCGGCGGCGCCCGCTCCACGGGCCCTGCGGCCCCCCGCCTCCCGGCCGGGCCGCCCCCTCGGATTCCCGCGGACGGGACCACCTCCCCTTCCCTCCATCACCCCTACCGACTCGGGCACCCACCCCCCGGGGCACCAGTGCCAACGGCGGCTCCCCGGGCCCCGGACCTACCTGCACGGCTCAACCAAGCCTAGAAGTGGGGGCGGGGAATCTTCCGCCCTCCTCTGTCTCTCATTGGCCTTTCCAGAGCACATCGTGAGCGGCATTGGCTGATGGCGGATGTCCGTCAGAGCGGCGGGGCGGGACAGAAGGGGGAGAGGATGCTGGTGCCCCGGCGTCTCTGTCTCTGTGTATCTCTCAGTCTCTGTCTCGCTTCGGGAAAGGAGAGACATTTGAACCGGAGGACTGAACGGAGGCCGGAGGTGGAAAGGACAGAAATAGGCATCCTGACAGAGCCTCCCACCGGTCGGCCGCTCCGAGCCCTCTACCTAAGTCCCCTGTAGATCCTCTTCTCCATCACCCCCAACCCCGGCCCCTCACCCTTGTAGGTTCTTCATCCAGGAAGCGACGTGATGAAAACTCGAGGCCGGAAGGCCACAGAGGAGATTTTATAGATGTATATAAAATATACACATACAAATACTTACATATAAAGTCAGTCAGATAGAAGGTCACGAGAGCCTGGAGAGGAAAGGGTACACATCTCACAAACAGGGAAGGACTTCGGAGAGAGCCACTATCAGAAGGAATCAAAATGACTCAAAGTGCTAGTAACAGTGGTTTCCTCCCGGGCGGGAGAACTGAGTGCCTGGGAGACCAGGTGGAAGGAAGACAACATTACACCGCACATCCTTTTGTATCTTTTGATTTTTGTACCATTCACAAAGATGCCAGGTTGGTTTTGTTGGGTTTTTTTGTTAAGTAATTGATTTAAATTTAAAAATAATTCCAAGGTTGGAAAACCAGGGGGACAGACAAGATGGTCGTCCAGACAAAGTGGCACGACGTGCGGATTTAGGAAGGAATTTTAGTTTTTAATATATTCAGATCCAGACACCAGTGGTAAAACTAAGTGGATGTGTCCTAGGGGCAACTGGAGTTACGGAACTGGTGAAGAGTGGAAAATCTGGACTAGGGGAGATCTGGGAGTCTCCGCCTAAATATGGTGACTGGTGACAGGCTAAAGGATAAACTCCCCATAGAAATGTAAAAGAAACCCACCGGAGGATGAAAAGAAACAGAATGAGGGGCAGTTAGGTAAGAAAAACAATATTGAAGAAGCATGAAAGTTAAGGGAGGAAGGGTATCAGGAAAAACAGAATAATAAAACTGTAAGACCGGTGAGGCTCTTGAGACTCACTTCAGGGACCCTCTTTAGGCTCGTTCAGTAAAGAATGAAAGCCAAGAAAATATCCATTAAGCAGAGTTCTTAATTTTTTCAAACCACAGACCCTTTTCAGTCTGGTGAAGTATATGGTCCTCTTCTCAGAATGTTTTCAAATGCATAGCAAACATACATGGGAATGCAAAGGAAAGCAATGATATTAAACCACAATTTTCAATTATATTAATGCATTTTATATTAATGTATTCAATAAGATCTAATAACCTCAGTAATTTTGAGGCAGTAAATTAACAAATAATATTTCAAGATCTCTGCAATGACTGTAATATATTTGAAAAATATCTGTGATTTCTATTGATGACAAGATCACAGGTACTGCTAATAATACTTGGTTTGTTGTCTCCATTTGTACTTGAAAAAAATGCTAATTTTCTGTTACACTTTAGCAAAAATAAAAGCATATGCTTTTCTAAGTTCATGGATTTCCTAATCTGCGGACCATAGTTTAGGAAACCATACTCTAAAGCCGGGGTCCTCAAACTTTTTAAACAGGGGGCCAGTTCACTGTCCCTCAGACCGTTGGAGGGCCGGACTATAGTTTAAAAAAAACTATGAACAAATTCCTATGCACACTGCACATATCTTATTTTGAAGTAAAAAAAAACAAAACGGGCCCTGGCTGGCTTGGCTCAGTGGATAGAGGGTTGACCTACGGACTGAGGGGTCCCAGGTTCGATTCCGGCCGAGGGCATATGCCTGGGTTGTGGGCTCGATCCCCAGTGGGGGACTTGCAGGAGGCAGCCCTGATTAAAGATGTTTCTCTTTCATCGATGTTTCTGTCTCTCTATCCCTCTCCCTTTCTCTCTCTCTAAAAATCAATAAAAAAAAAAAACATTTAAAAAAAAAAAAAAACGGGAACAAATACAATATTTGTATTTGCATGTGGCCCGCTGGCCGTAGTTTGAGGACCCCTGCCCTAAAGAAAGCATTCTTTCCACCCTCCACATACCATGCCAGGCTGTGACCCTTCCCTTGGCTTCTTATCTCTTGCTCTCTCTACTTCTTTCCCATTTGCTCCAAGCACTCTCTACCTGCAGATTTCTGATATCCCTGCGACTAAAAGAGCAAAGGACTATGAGTGAGTGTTGGAAGAAAGATATATACAGGTTGTCTTTCTTCAAAGAAAAAAGAGAGAGCTATACAGTATATAGCAGATCTGAGAAGATGGGGAAAAGGAACCCAAGATGGGGTATCATTAATCCCCAAGAGGAAAAACAAATTATAAAAAGAAACCTTTATCAGTTAAAAAATGATATTTCTGAGTTTATTAATTTTACTTAAATCAGCCCTAGAGAACATCTTTAATCCAGCTTTTTATTTCATATATCTGTAAAATGGGGTGGAAAAAAAATAGTACCTACATCCTAGGGTTTTTTGTGAGGATTAAATTAGTTAATACATATAATAAATTTAACACAGTGCAGTTTTTAACTACCATTATTTTTTTTAAATATATTTTATTGACTTTTTACAGAAAGGAAGGGAGAGAGATAGTTAGAAACATCGATGAGAGAGAAACATCGATCAGCTGCCTCCTGCACATCTCCCACTGGGGATGTGCCCGCAACCAGGGTACATGCCCTTGACCGGAATCGAACCTGGGACCTTTCAGTCCGCAGGCCAATGCTCTATCCACTGAGCCAAACCGGTTTCGGCTTAACTACCATTATTATTACATTTTGCATCTTGTATTCCAGAGCATGCCATGAAAATTTTTGGTATGATTATTTGTATTAATGGCATGTATAATAGCAAATTAAGAGTGATAAGGTGATTAACCCAGAGCACCTTTTTATTTAAATGCTTCAAATTTAGAATACTTCACTTCTTCCAGTTACATTTTCATTCCTCTAGGGGTGGTTGGAAGAACATCAGTGCCTCTTTAAAGAGATTGTAAACTTGGAAAGAAAATTTTGCTACTCCTATTACAAAGAGCTAGCTTCCATAATGCTGTATATAAAGACCTCCTACAAATCAAGAAATAAAGACCAGCAATCCTCATATATTTCTGGTGGAAGTGCAAACTGGCACAGCCACTTTGAAAAAGACTTTGATATAATTTAATACAATTGGAGATATGCATACTCTATGTCCTAACAGTTACACTAGTGGATATATATTACAAGGAAATGCAGAGTTTTGAGCATAAGTATTACTGTACAAGAATAGTCATAGCAGCATTGTTCCTTAGTGCCCCAGACTGGAAACA